TGTGGATCCGACCCTTGACCCTGGTATGATAACACCTCTCTAACCAACTGGGCCAAGCAGCTCTTGCCTTTTACTTCGTAGTATTCAATATGGTATTGACCTTTGCTTTTACAATGTCGCATGAGTGGTATCACTCCCTTAATTGTCATTAGGTGTCACTTGTTGCCTACAATCTACCAGTATTCACCAATAACAATATATTTCATTTTAGTGATTCATTTTGTCAGGTTAGCAGAATACCACATATCTACAAGTTATTATTTCCTACGAGATTCTGGTATACAGTATATGGGATTCACATGAGCACAGTAATGTTTTCAAATTGTTTTCTCAATTAATTCTTTTTTTACATTTTATGATGGAAAATTGAAAACTTATGAAAAGTGTAAAGAACAGGATAATAAAGTGCCATGAAACCATCATCCACGATCATTATCAATATTCCAACGTAAAAACCAATTTAAAATTACTTTGTGTGTATACTGGATAAAAAAAAAGTACTGACATTATTTTTCCAAACATTTCATATAAAATGAGGTAGCAGGACTGGCGGGTTAGCTAAGTTGTTTACAGCAAAGTGTTATAACACCAAGGTCAAGGGTTCAGCTGCCCTTGCCTGTCAGTCACCCAAACAAATGACATAAAACAAACTCAGTACACATCTATGGGCAAGAGCTAGTTTGGGCACCCTCAGTCTTCATATCTCGAAGAAAGATCTTTCAGCAGGTAGCCCAGCTGCAGGCTCCAGGTTGAAATCTTTTGTCTTTCTCCACCTCTGTTGCTTAGTTGGTTCATCTAAAAACTGCAAATAACTACAGAACCTGCCCTACTTGGTTATTCTGAGGACAACTCCACAGTTCTGAGATCAAGGCAAAGATACTGTGGTGCTCAACGTACTGATGGCAGAACACCTCCCCCAGCCCATATGTCCTTCCCCGGCCCATCCCACTTGCAGGGGACACCTGCAGGCGTCGGTGGGTGGAGGACTGGCCGCTGAGACCCGCCTGCTCTGTGGTCAGTGGGGGATCACACATTGCTAGGAAATCCAAACTAGGGTTTGGCTCATTTCAAAACACATGTCCTTTATTATGGTTTCCGGTCCCTCAAAGAGCCTTGTCCAGAATCACCTGATATATTTGCAAAAAACACAGATATCTAGATTACACACTGTCCTAATGGGTCAAGAACGCGGGTTAATTATTATGTGTGTGTGACTAAGTGCCCAGAGGTGCTGATCTGATGGCAAGTGTGGAACGTCTTTCATGATGTCCCTGTGAGGGACAGATTGTGTGTAAGTGGGGAGTGGAGAGATTGGAGCTGGTGGACTCCATATCTCTGATCATCCAGCCCTCTGGGGACTTCACCTTCCATAACGTAGGCAGCCGGCCTGCTTACCCAGAAAGGTGTATCTTCAGAAGTCCTGGCCTTGACTGCATCCTGGGAGATGCCTTCTGAAGCCTTGGAATATCTTGCGTGATTAAAACGTATGTGTATTCCTGAGCCCTTGGACCCTGTTGTATCAACGTGACCTGTAGGGGGCTAGAGAGTGAGTGGCTAAGGTCAGTCATGCTGGGCTCCATGCCTATCACTGACTCACTGATAATACCCCGGACACCAAGTGTCAGGTGAGCTTCCCAGGTGGTTGCAATTGGCCTGGTTCACACATCCTTGCTGGGGGTATGATGAGCTGTAGGGGGGACGCCTGTGAGAGGAGCAGGCTGGGCTGGTTTCTACTGGCTTTCACCTAATATGCATGTTCTTTGTGTTTATCTAATGAATCATCCCACCAGAGAGTGGTCTCGGGAACCCAACACAGGGTGTTTACGTAATACTTACCATACATATTTTCTAAAATGCAAAATTCTCAATGCTGTGTACCAGTGGTCAAGGTAAAAGTGATATTAGCTGGACCAGTGCGAATCGTGGGTAGAAAGAGTGGGAAGATGACTTAATACCAATGATCTTTTAGGTGGCACCTACTAGAAACCCAGGCTGATGCTAATACTCTTTCCCCAGTGTTCTGCTTAGTTTGGGTTGCAGTAACAAAGATGTACCATACTCTGGGTGGTTTAAACAACAGACATTTATTTCAGACAGTTCTGGAGGGTGGGAAGTCCACAATGTGGGAGGCAGCATGTTTGGGTTCTGGTGAAGGTCCCCTTCCCGCCTCGCAGGCTGACTTCCTGCTGTGTCCTGCAAGTTTGCAGAGAAGCTCTGGTGTCTCTTTGTCATCTTAGAAGGGCACTAGTTCAGTGCTGGGGACTCCACCTGAGGACCTCATCTACACCCAATGACTTCCCGAAGTCCCCATCTCCTGATACCATCACACTGGGAGTGAGGGCTTCAATGTATGAATTTTGGGGACACACAGATTTTACCCATAACACCCAGAAGTACTTTTGTCATTAAGTAACACATATGTGTACATATATATAATAGAGTTACAAAATTTAGCTCTTCGCATTCACCAGCTGTGCCTCTTGAGGACATCCGTCACCCATCCCGACCGTCCCCCGTCTACTACAGAGACAGCCTCCTGCTGAGAACGCTGGCCTCGGTGCTATGAGAATTCCACCAGAATGCACAGAAAGACTTAGTTCAGCACATAGAAAACACTCATTCTAGGAATTTCAACAATATTATCATTAAGAGACCGTTGCAGAAAACTATTAAAATGAAAGGACAAAAATAAAACAAAATTACCCATTGTATCAGTCTGTTTCTGTTGCTTATAACAAAATACCTGGAACTGGGTAATTTAGAAGGAAAACAAAATTTCTTGCTTACAGTTCCTGAGGCTGGGAAGTCCAAAGTCCAGGGAACACAGCTGGTGAAGTTCTTGGGGGTGGGGACAGTGACGGCAGGGTGTCACATTGTGAACGTGGTGGAGCAGAGAGAGACAGTTCCTCCGGCACTGTCCTTTTAAAGTCCTCAGAACCACACCCATGGCCACCATTTTTAATCCATTTGCCACAGCACAGTCCCCCAATCTAATCACCTTTTCAAGGTCCCCCCTTTCAATTTCCATAACAGGATTTCCCACCCATGTCACAGTCAGAGTGGGGACCAGGTTTCCAACACAGAAAACTTGGGAACATAATTCAAGGTTCAGGGAGTTTGGGGGACATGATTCAACCCACTGCACCCATCGTCCCACACTGAGTTTTACGTTCCTCGTTCCGTCCTCACAGGTGTGTCCTGTACGTGTGTGTCTGTCACACAGGATTACTCTGTACATGCACCGCCTTAGCTTTGATCTCCTCTCGCTACATGTGATGGAGGACGACAACTGGAAGCTTGTGCTGCTCTCTCCTGGGCTCTGCCCTGTGTACTTCCCTCCATTGCTGATGTGAATCAATGTCCTTTCCTAACTGGACGTGTGTCAGCTGTTCTAGGTGCTGGGCGTCCTTCCAGCACGGCACTGAGTCTGAGGTTAGTCTCAGGAACAGGCCCCCTCCACACTTTTCAGTTAATTTTCTTTTGTCCAGGAGCACACGAGGTGCAAGGACTCTTGCTAAAGACATGTCTTCCAACGACTCGTGAGCATTCACTGCAGGAGAAGCTCCAGAAATGTAAGCGTAGAGGACACATGACAATGTAAAATTGGGAAATATGATGAAACACATTTCTTCTCTGGAGGAAACAATATTGATAAGAAAGAATGATAATTCTGAAGCCCTACCGTTTGGAATTGCTGAAGTATTTTGTAATCGATTCCTTCATCATTCCTTTAAAACAGAAATTACTCAAGTGATAATTATTTTTTGAAACAGCAGAACAAAGAAATGAGTTTCTTCTGCTTATTCAAAAAAATAAATAAATCTCTCAAATTCTTGCAAAGGAATTGATGGCAACAATTAAACTAGAATAAAACAATGTTCTAAAATACTTCCATCAACTCAGAGTAAAAATAAAAGAGTGCAAAGAGTCTTGCAGGTCACTCACCATCCATCTGTGAGTTCACAGATTGTAAGAGAGCTTGAATGAGGCCCGGCATTCAGCAACTTTAGTTCCGTATTCGCGTAGAGCCTCCCCACCACCTCACCCTATCCTTTTAAGCCCTTCTTATTGGCTCTTTGCTTGATCTCTCATATCAAAACCCGCCCTGCCCTTTTTCCCTATATAAGCTGTGCCGCCCTGCAAATAAACGGAGTTCCGGCTTTGACCACTCTCCTGGCTCGGTGGTGTTCTTTCTCGGCCCCCGGGGAGGAAGGTCCTGGGGGGGAAGGGCCGTGCCAGCGACACTCATCATCCCGCTCAGCCCCACAAGGGACCCCCGGCTGGACCGGGGTCTCTTCCCGCTCGGTTTTGTCGGCCTCTGGCTCAGGGAGGCCCGACAGGAACCATGTACCTGTGCCTCCTACTTTCACCTGCCAAAATGCCTGCCAGTATTAAATCCCTCAGAACCCAGGACTGCATAAAAAGTAAATGGCTTCATGTTATGAGCAAAGTTTGGTTTCCCCATCTCAAATATTAACTTATTCTATATTCTGGGATAATAAGTTTAGGGTGGGCAGTTTCAGGATATAGTGTCAAATCTGCCTGATATATGCCGAACATTTTGGGCAAACCTAAATACTGGAGAGGGAGGCTGCAACTCTCTTTCTTTAAATCATATGACAACTCTACCTGGGTTTTCAAGTTTTTACGAGTACTGTGGTTGCTTTTAATACCTGTCAGTAGCTTCGGGTCAGCCTGCAGCACTTCTCTGTTATGTCACGAAGCAGATTTTTAAATGTGAAAATATGGTCTGAAGTTTGGCTTTTGTTTTCAGTTAGGTTTTTTTCAATGCTCTTCAGTTAGTAGCTGAGCATCAATTGCAACTTGAACCTTTTTCAATAAACACTTAAAATTTGTAGATAACATGTAAGTCTTTTCTCCATATTCCACTTTTGTTCTCACTTCAACGGATTTTGAAACTTGGATTTCATATCCTATAACAGCCTTTTCCACTTGCTCTCTCAGAGGTTCAATGTGGCTTTTCAGCTTCCTCCCATGACAGCTGCAGCTTGCTCAATGGGCATCAGGAGGTGACCCCGGTGCTCAGATGAGACCCTGCACTGGGGACACAAGAGCCCCAGGTCCTTCTCACAGAACAGGTCCAGAAACTGACTGTGCTGATCACACAGGGCTTTCTCTTCCTGCCGTTTCCTCTTGCTCCTCGTGGTGGGAAGCTGCTTCACAATGTCAGTCATGTGGCCCAGCTGGGTGTTCCTCTTGAGGCTGTTGTCAGGGCAGTGGTGGAGGCAGACGGGACAGGGGAAGATGTCCTGCAGGTCTTCCCAGCACTGGTGGATGCAGGAGCCACAGAAGTTGTGCCCACAGTCGGTGGTCACTGGGTCCCTCAGGTAATTCAGGCAGATGGGGCAGCTGGCCTCTGCTTGGAGCTCGGCTAGAAAGGCTGCTGAGGCCATCGTGTGGGGATGGTTTGTGTGTGAGGAGACTCTTCAGAAAGGTCTGATCGTCCTGTGGCTCAGGAAGGTGAGAAGCAGATACGTCCTCAGCTCCTGCTCTCCTTCCTGGAAGTCAGCACCTGTGGAGACACTGGCTCCTCAAGAGTCTTCTGCGTCCTCCCTGCAGTCTCTGAAGAGTCTTTGCAGAAGATCCACGCACCGCAGCCAATTCCCACTGCTCCTGCACCCTGGTCCTGCGGTCGTCAGCTTCCTCCAGAATGGGACGTTGGCTGTGGCATCTCTTGGGTAAAGAAAGACCAGCTCCAGGGCGCTACGTGATTTCTGTGAGCAAGAGACACTGTCACGTTAAAAGGAAACTTAATCATATGTTTATTGTTTCTTCCTTATAGGAAGAGAACCTCGAGTTACCAAGTAGGTTATCAGGAGAATATTTTTAAAGTGGATAGAAATTAACACTATCACCATTTTGAATTGAATTTCGGCAATGACCACCAATGGCAGTAACATGACAAAAAGAGAGAAAAACAGGCTTTATAGACGATCGGATGGGAGGCTAATAATATACTGTCGTTCAGGGAAATTTACCACAGAGAGGCGCCTCACCTGGCCAGTGCACTCCCAGTCTCTGGATGTGGCCTCTGCTGTTCGATGCCACCTGGGGCTCGGGCTGTCTCTGAATGACCAGACTCACCCACGCCCTGCTCTGCTCTTGGCTTTGCACTTTTGGGGGAGCTGCAGGTGTGTCCCCAGGCCTGGGTGGTGCAGCCGGCACTGTGCTTTCAGGACTGAGGGCTCCTGTCCATGCAGTGAAGACGTGACTTCCTCCATCCGAGTTGACCTGGTCAGCTCCTCCTTTCACTGTCATGGCCGAATCTGGCCCCATCGGCCTTATAAGCCAGAGGGACGTTCCTTTCTTCTGTCCTATTGG